AAAAAAAAAAAAAAAAAAAGTTAAAAACATTCTCTGAAGATTCAACGAAAACTGAGTAATTTTGGGGGGTAACTTTTTTAATATCGATTAAAGTGTCACGACGACTTAACCTACTGCACGCGCGCCGCAGTGCAAGAGTGGAATGGGTTCAGGTAGAACTGTTGTTCTGTTCATCCTTTGCTCCAGTTAGCGTCTGCTGCTGGTAAAATTCCCTATTCCCAGTGCGCACCGAACTGTGAGGCCGCTGCGTGGCCGCTACAACTCTTTCCACCTCCATGATGTCAATGAGAATGCCGTCCTTTTTCGTACTGTAGCGCAGCAACGAACTACACAATAGAGTTGTAGTGGAAACGTGGTTGGAGTAGGGAAAGACGGCGCATTCACAGCACAGGCTTGCACCGGCAAGGCTTAACTGAATAAAAGAACTGTGTATTAATATTAATAAAGGTGTTTGCGTGCACGATACCCTACCACACCGAGGCCGAGGCCTATAGTTCATTCGCTAAATGTAGACACTTCAGCAAGCAAAGGAAATCGAAAAAATCGCTGGCCCTTCTTTGTCGCCCTAACAAACGTCCTGGTTACGCTCATTAGGAGGGTCGAACCCTCGGCCTAGAGTTGCCGGAGGCACCCGCGCCAGCTTCGCCGGCCTCTGCTCTCCCCAGGGGGGGGGAGGGGGGGGGGACCGGGCATAACGCATCTAGAGAGACTATGAGCAGAGAGGCGACAACTGCTGGGCGCGCCGCTGCGCTGTGATTGGCCTGCTCGCTTTGGTGCCCCAGCATGCACCCGCCGGGTCGGGGCCCGCTCCGGTCCGCTTCGGCCGACCCGAGCACCGAGCCGCGCGGCGCCCCGCCAGTTAGCGCCCGGCGGGTGCATGCTGGGGCACCAAAGCGAGCAGGCCAATCGCAGCGCAGCGGCGCGCCCAGCAGTTGTCGCCTCTCTGCTCATAGTCTCTCTAGACCAGCGGTAGCGGTTCTCAACCTTTTTCGACACGCGACCTCACAGAAGGATTTCCGCGACCCCATGCGACCCCACATCGA